TATTATAACTAATTAAGATTTTGGAAAAAAAAGTGTCATTTTCAGTTCCTTTTATGTATTGTTTTATATGAAAATTATGGTAATATTTGTATCTCTTTTTTAAACAGTTTGACCTCTGCTTTAACAGAAACACTAACAGTGGAAAAGTAACATTGAAATTACTAAATTAAGCAAAGATCAAATCAGGCTAGTCTTATGCCTGTAACACTGCTTGTCTGTCAAACTCTATTCCATATGTAGGATCCTTAGAATTGTTTCAAAAAACAATTTAAGTCTCTTAAATGTTAGTAACTTGACATAAAGTGAGAACATTCCAGTAAATTCTGGAATGTTGTCGGTGACTGTCATACGCTGCTTGAATCAAAGGTGGCAATTACCAGGATGTAGGCGTTATCTAATCCCAGCCTAGAGCTCCCTCTATAGGATTTGTGGAGAATAGAAATCGATCATGGGACTCAGTTGAGTCATTCCTGCAACATTTACATTCCTCCAGGCGGTGCAGAAGGGACTAGAAGATTCAGGTGGTGTCAAGCCCCAAAACAAAAATGACTCATGGAGCTTGAAGCTGAGTTCTTTTATTGTTTTGTACGTATAGCCAAAATCTTGCCAAACTAAGCCCTCTACTAACTGCATCTACTACATAGACTGAGTTGCCTGTTACTCCCCTGGAAGGTACCCCTCCCTCCTGGAAATCCACCTCCTCACTACATTCCATCACAGGTGGACTCCTTCTGGATAAACATTTCCATCACATAGATTTTCTGACAGGAAATCCAAATGTGTAAACATGAAGCACTTTAGAAGTTGGGGGTAGGAGGAAGTTTCCGAAACAAACATGTCGCTACTGAGAAATGAAAAAAATGTCTTTCAGTCATTAATTACCAATCTTCAGCAGATTTAAGTATCTAATAATTAACAGTTTCTCAATTGGTTCTTCATCTATAGGAGCAATGTGACATACAAAGTGAGTTTCATTTGGTTTTTGTTTAGCATTTTATGGCCTCTTTAATTAACAGTGGTTAAAAAGACAATTTAATGAGAGGTGCAATTTATTTCCAAGCCAGAGAAAGCTCTATTTTTATGGGAATCAAACTAGATTAAGGAATGGAGGTCATATTTTTAAATCCATGCATTGATTTTTACTTTAAAAAAACATGAACAGGGTCAGATTTTTATAACAAAAAAGATGGCTAGGCAAGAAAAATATCAGCCCCAAAGGTATAGAATATTCCATTCTCTCAGTAATAGCTGAGACAACTTGTGGCTTTTTATTTTTCCCCTTTATTTCCCTGCATAAAATAAATCTGATCTAGTTATTCTAGTTAAGAACACAAATATTGTGGGCAAAGTACACACAATATTTATTGTATTTAATGTTTTCACTACTGAAATCCTGTCAGTTTTTTTTCTTTGGTTAACTATTCAAGAATTGTAGGCTCTCATATTGTACCAGCCCCATCCCTGTAGCTATTTTATAATTTAGAATATTATGGAAAGAAATAGTTGAGAATCTCAGTAAACTATGGGTTAATGTATTATGTAGATACAGCCATGCCTACATAAGCTGTAGGATAGTGATTATGCAGGTACTGACTATTTTTGCTAGCTAGGGCAGTAACAAAGAGGTGGACTTAAAGCAGTCATGAGACTTTGAATGAGTCATTATCAGCTGAGTTAATTTCCCTTTGGTAATAGAAGCCCTAAAGTACAAGGATTCATTTTCTTTTGAATCTTCTGGAAGACAAATGATGTCATACCGAGTAATATAGGCAGGAGATCAAGGAAGAGTTTTTTCTAACTGAGCTTTTCTCTCTCACTTGTAGAAAATAATATGCCACCTGAATTCCCAGTGAGACTGAGTAGTTTACAAACTCTTGAAAGCATTTAAAAACAACATAAAAACAATATAACTAAAAAAACAAAGAAGGCAGAGAAAACATCCAGATGGTAACATGGAAAAAAAGAGCATCAATCCTTGTCAAAGGCCAGGGTGAAGAGCCACGTCTTCAGGGCCCTTTAAAATAGCAATTAGGAGGGGGATGTTTTAATCTTGGGGTGGGGACAGGGGTTCTAACAGAGAAGATGTGCTTTCAGGGTCCCTATAAATTACATAACTTAAAGCCCGTTGCCTGTCTCCCAAAGAGATTAAACATTGTTTAATCAAAGGAACCCAGAGCGTGCCTACTTTGCCAGATTAAACTGGCCAGGCAGACACTTTGGGAGGCAGGCAACAGGCTTTAAGTTATGTAGGGCAGGGTCCCCAACCCCCAGTCTGAGGATCAGCACTGGGCTGTGGCATGCCAGAAACTGGGCCATGCAAACCAGCGAAGTCCCATCCCTGGGATGCAGGCAGCATGCAAAACCACATCCCTCTGATCCACCGAAAAATCTCTCCATGGAACCTGTCCCTGATGCCCAAAAGGATGGAAGCCGCTGATGTAAGGCTTTATACGTAGTGACCACCACCCTGAATCACACCCAGAAGCAACTAGGGCAACTCATGAAGCAAAGGGGCTACATGCAGTGGTAGGATTCAGCCAGTTCACACCACTTCGGGAGAACCGGTTGTTAACTTTCTGAGCAGTTAGGCAAACTGGTTGTTGGAAGAAATCATTAGGGCAGAGAACCGGTTGTTAAATTACTTGAATCCCACCAGTGGCTACATGTTATATATAAACTGGAATATTACATTTGGGTTAAACTACTCTATCTCTTGCTTAGTGCAAATATACTATTTTGGAATTTTGCCGAAGTAAGGAGCACAATACTGAGAATAACCATTATTATTGCAATGTTTATTGGATGCCTGCTTTTTAAGACAGACAGACCCTTAACAATGGAAAAGAAAAGAATTTTTATAGAAATTAAAGGCTGCAAGGAAAGAAATCCTAAGGATCTGATTTGTTGGACAGTTTGGGAAGCTAGGCAGGTCCTGGTTAGTGTACCTGAGGCAAGTTCTATTTTTAGACAAAATGGGTTTTTCTGGAGGGCAGCAGAGCTGGGGAAGTTCATTGTTAAGGAAACTGAGTGTCAAGGTCAATCAATAAAACAAAGGATAGGTTTGCAATGCTTTTGTAAAGTTGCCAGGTAGAGGCTTCAATGCTTTGTTGTCTAAATGGGATTGCAAGCAGTTTTATCTGGGGTAAAGGCTCCCCTCGCACATAAGTGCTAGTTGTTCCCGACTCTAGGGGACGATGCTCATCTCCGTTTCAAAGCCGAAGAGCCAGCGCTGTCCGAAGACATCTCCGTGGTCATGTGGCTGGCATGACTAAATGCCAAAGGCGCACGGAACGCTGTTACCTTCCCATCAAAGGTGGTCCCTATTTTTCTACTTGCATTTTTTACGTGCTTTCGAACTGCTAGGTTGGCAGAAGCTGGGACAAGTAATGGGAGCTCACCCCGTTACGCAGCACTAGGGATTCGAACCGCTGAACTGCCGACCTTTCGATTGACAAGCTCAGCGTCTTAGCCACTGAGTTTTTTGGTTTGATGGACTTAAGCAAAAAGAGCATCTGGGTTCCATCCTGGTCATATCTATAGGGGGGGAAGGGTGCAATCATTTTTGGTGCCTTTGAATCTGTTGACTCTTGGTATTTGCCTGGACAAATCCTATCAATGGCAAGATTTTTAGTAGTAGTTTGCCTTGTCTCCTTCCTAGGGTAGCGAGCAGTGGTGGGTTGCTCCCGGTTCGGGCGAGCCGGTAGTTGTGATGATGTGACATCACCAAACCAGTTCTCTTTGACTGGGAGCTAGGCCCTCCCGCCCGCCCCTGTGTTATACCTATCTTTATTTCTTGTTTTTTAGCCCAGCTGAAAGGCGCGGCAGAGTGGATTGCTGCACCTCAGCTGGGCAGAAACCTAATGCTCTTGTGTGAAGCGATTGCGCGCAAAGTGCGTGCGCAAAGAGAACCAGTGGTAACATCGGTTGGAACCCACCACTGGTTGCGAGACTGGTCATGTCATTTAGCTGGCTTAATGCCGAAAAATGGATTAGAACTTATGGTACCAATGGAAGAGAATATTTGTAACTCAAGACTGAACCGTAGAGGGCTTGGTGTTGTTTGAGTTTGGTTGTTTTGAAACTTTTCATTACCCAAACTAGGGTAACATCTTCAGGACTAGGTAGGGAGTGGGGTTTGCTGTCATTTTGTTATCCTCGATTGGGCTGGTTTGCTGTGAGCTAAGGAACCAGCAAGGCTATACAGAAGTAAGCCTACGTTAATGGGAGACTGGCTCCAAGCTAAATGGATGGGCTGGTTCAGCATCCCCCAATTCCTTCTACACCTGTTTACTAGGCTATACTTATTGCCTCTAGTGCAGGGGTGGGCAACTGTGGCCCTTTTACATCCTGTGGACTTCAACTCCCAGAATTCTTAAGAAAGCCATGCCGCCTCAGGAATTCTGGGAGCTGAAGTCTACAGGTTGTAAAAGGGCCACAGTTGCCCACCCCTGCTCTAGTGAAAAGCAAAATAACCCCCTCTCCGGTAACGGAAGTGGCTGTTAAGGGTCTCCCCAATCTGTTTGCAGGTAGCGGGAGAAACTCTCGGCCACCGGTCTGGGGGAACCGGGCGCAGGCGTGGAGCCTTCCGACAAGGCCTGCAAAACACTCCAGCGTCTTTTTCTTTTTTCTTTGTCACGGCGTGAGTCAGCAAATCGGGAGAAGGAAGTCAGGCGCCCAAGATCCGTGGAAGCGACTCTCGTTCCGCCTCCCGTTGCGAGGCCTGCGGCCGCCCCGAAGCCTGTTAGCGTTCCCTCACGTTGGAAAGCGAAGGAAATGCTGAGTAACGCTCGCTCGAGGCTTTGTGGAAGGCTCGGTAGGCCCGAAGTTTTGATTCGCCACCGCCGTCCAGCTGAAGAAGGGGGGGGGGGGGGGAGGGAAGGAAGGCGGGGGCCAATCGCGCCGTTGCAACCGCCTCGCGTGGGGTTGTCCTACCCCCCTTTTAACCCCAAAACCCCGTTAAGGTTCCCTTGGGGGGGGGGGGGGGGGGGGAAAGGGGGGGTGAGGAGAACTCGGCATATCTCCCCTTGGTACCTATTATTATTATCCTCGCTTCGCCAGCGCCGGGACTTTCCCACCTGAACTCCGCCTCTTTTCCGTGGGTTGCGGCGCCCATAAATAGCCGGGCCGGGTCGTCATCGGCAACCAAGCGGTGAAAGGACGTCGCTCGCATAGAGGTTGAAGCGCCTCTGTTCCTCAGCCTGCCGGAGCGCCAATTGTTGCTGCGCCACAGAAACCCAGCGCCGCCGCCGCGATGGCTCAACTGACGATCAAGGCCTACCTGCTGGGCAAGGAGGAGACCACCCGCGAGATCCGGCGCTTCGCCGTCGACCTTCCAGCCCGTTACCAGCAGATACGGGACAAGGTCGCCGAGCTTTTCCAGGGGCTGCTCCGCAATTCCGCCGCCGCCACGGGAGCCTTTCAGATGTACTATAAGGGTGAGCGATGGAGGGGATCGATGGGGCGGAGAGGCTGCATCGCTTCTCTCTTATTCATTTCCCCCCTCCCCGGTATGGAGCTTTCCTTGAATAGCAGCTCCTGATTCTTGAGAGCGGCACCCCAAAATCTGATATTTACTGGGGCTCCTCGCGCTTCTTTCTCTTCGGGTTAGGTAGGTTTAGAGTGCCAGGAGGTAAGAAACCGTAAACGCGAGTATCCATTTAAATAAATGCGTGGAAACCCAGAAATTTTCAACCCTTTCCCTACGTTTTAGGATCTTTCTTTTTTTTTTTAATATGGTATACTTTATTTTCAGTAGAGTATTACATAGTATCACAATGTTGGATTTTGTACAGATGTCCCTGTATGTACAGAACTAAATAAAATGGAGCTCTTGAAAAGATGATACACTGGACTGCACCTCTCATAGCCACGTTTAGCTCTTTAATGGACAATCTTGAGCAGTTTAATCAGGCTGGAGATTTTCCTGATCATGGTTCCTCAGCAGGAAACTATTATATTTTTTTATCCCACCTTTATTACTTTATAAAGTGACTCAAGGAAGCCAGCATGTATGATATTCCTTTCTCTTCCTATTTTCCTAACACTAGCAAACACGGTGACGTGGGTTGAGCCCAAGGCTATCCGGCTGACTTTCACCTCTAAAGCAGGACTAGAACTCAGAGTCTCCCACTTTCTAGGCCAGCCACTTAGCTTCTAAATCGAACTGTTGTCTGAATTCATATACTAAAGTTCAGCTTCTAAACGAAGAGTCAGTACAGGTAGTCCCTGACTTACAACCATTTGTTTAGTGGCCATTTGAAGTTCGAACAGCATTGAAAAAAGTGACTTAGGACCATTTTTCTGACCATTTTTCACAAGAACGTTGCAGCATCTCCATGGTCACATAATCAAAATTTAGACACTTGGCAACTGGCATGTATTTGATGGTTGTGGTGCCCCAGAGTCATGTGATCCCCTTTTGGGGCCTTCTGACAAAGTCAATAGGAAAGGGAGATTCACTTAACAACCATATTACTAAGTTAACCTTTGTAGTGATTCACTTAACTGTGGCGTGAAAGATTGTACAGGGGCAAAATTCACGTAACTGTCTTGCTTAGCAGTGGAAAGTTTTGGCTCGATTGTAGTTGTAAGTCAAGGATACTTATAGCAGTTTATTAAAAAGTTTGTTGATATATCCTGGTCCAAATTCCAAGCTTTAATAGGTAATCCACAAAGGACAAGAATAAACAAACAATTATGACTTCACATGGGCAAAGGAAAGACTGTCATGTAGTGGTTAAAGGTCCAATGCCCTTGGTGTGTTATGACCATTCTTTCTAAACTTTGCTGCCCTAAAAGTAGTCCTGTTTCCTCATCAGAACAGAACAGACCCAAGCCTCAAGGTTTGCTAAAAGGCATAAGAAATTCTATTATTTCTTGCTATTGTACTGTAGGTTATGCACCAATTCCAGAAAGTCTGGTTTAAATTCTTAGTTTTAAATTAAAACTAATTAATTAGTTTTGGGGGAAAGTAACTTCAGATGTTTGGGACTCTATCCAAGCCTATGGTAAGATCTTATTACAGATATGTAGAAAGACGTGTATCCTGGAAAATGACCTTGAACTCACTTTTAGCAAAAGGTGGACAAAAGCAAAATCATGTAGCTTTGACCTGTAGTGTGGTAAATTTTCCTTGTGAATGAAGGGATTGTGTTAGATCAGGGGTGGGGTGCTGGCTCAGGAATTCTGGGAGTTGAAGTCCACAAGTCATAAAGGGGCCATAGTTCCCCACCTCCGTTTAGATCAGAGGTCTTCAAACTTGGCAGCTTGAAGACTTGTGGACTTCAACTCCCAGAATTCTCCAGCCAGCATAACATATCTGGCTGGAGAATTCTGGGAGTTGAAGTCCACAAGTCTTCAAGCTGCCAAGTTTGAGGACCCCTAGTTTAAATGATTGGGAGGTGTAACTCTGGAAAGAAACCGGAATGATTACATTTCTCTTTATAGGAAAGGGATGTTTTATTAGATGTTTTATTTAAATGATGTTTTCATTATTTTTCCCCTCCACTATGGAAACCACTGCATCAATTAATTCAGGATAATAACTACTGATTGATTCAGAGAAGAAATACCTTTTCTTTTGTTACGTTTTGCATTCTAGTAGAAATCTTACTACTAGCTTTTCTAGAGTTTTTAAAGATAGTTACTTCTATCACAGTTTGCAAAGGTATGTATGACTGAGCTTTAGTTTGCCATCCAAGAGTTACAAAAAGAATACCTGCTTTTCCAGATTGAGAATAAAGATAAAAACTAAGAATCCATATAAAACGCTACTTTGAATTTTACTCCTTCTTTAAAGCCTTTTAAAGCTTGTTGGAGCCTCTTTTTTTTCATCCTAGACCTAAATGCAGGGGTCTGGTTTTTTTTTTTTTCCTTTTCAAATTGACTGTTGATCCGTTGGTTGCAACTGGAATTGACCAACCAGCTTGTCACCTGACCATGATGATGTGGCCTGGGAGAAAATGACTGATCCAACATCATCCAGCCTGCTTTCATGCCTAAATCAGGACTAGAGCTCTCCGTCTCTTGGTTTCTAGCCAGGTGCCTTAATCGCTAGTCAAAACTGACACTAGTTCATGGGTGTCAAACTCACAGCATTACATTGCCATCACGTGACATTTCACAACGTTTTTTCCCCCTTCGTGGAGCTGGGGTTGTGGCCTGCACATGATGCATCCAGCCCACAGGTCGCCAGTTTGACACCCCTGCTCTAGTTGGAGCTCTTGTTATGGTCATCTGATTTTAGCCTTGAAATAGAGACCTGCATAATAAGTTTTATATTTTGTATGCATCTGTCAATAAAAAATTACAATTTAATTTTAATTTTAAATTTAATTGAATGAGTTAGGTAGGAAGCATGCAGTCTGTAAACTGATTTTGGGTAGAGTAGTGTTTTTGAGCCTTGGCAGTTTTGTGATGTGTGGACTTGCGTCCTAGAATTCCCTAGCTAGTTGGGGAATTCTGGGACTTGGAAGCTACACTTCATAACATTGCCAAGGTTGAAAACCACTGGGACAGAGTAAGTTTATAACAAAAGGATATTTCTTCACTGGTATAAAACGTAGATGCAGAACTAGAAGTAGTAATAACGCAATGATCCAAAAAAACAAACAAACAAAAAAACAGCTGGGAGGAATGAATAATCAGTGTTGTGTTTTGCTGCCTTTTTAAACTTATTCAACATAAGAGGCAACACAACCATGTTTCCTGCTTCCTGTTGATGACTTTCTGTGTGGATGTTATATAAGAATTGTTCAGACTATGATTGTATATCTTTTGTATCAAATAGTAAATGAATTATTTACTTTCAGATGAAGATGGTGACATGATCGCTTTTTCCAGTGATGAGGAATTGAAGTTGGTTCCACCCTCTGTGAAAGCTGGAGTTTTTTGGATTTATGTTAAAGGTAACATTGTTTGCATTGTTTGCAGTTGCACTCTTATGCATTCTGGACTATGCAATTGGTTCCAAATAAAGAACCTGCGCTACACAGATTATTTTCAATTCATAATCCTTATCCTATTATTGGAAGTATTTCAGGCTAAGCAGAAAGCAGAGAAAATTAAAGACAATGGTGGATATGAAATTAAAATACAAGTAGTCCTTGGATTATAATTGGAACGTCTGTCACTAAGTGACGTGGGCATCAAATGATTCATCCCCAATTTTATGATCTTTTTTGCTGTGGGTGTTAAGTGAATCTGGGTTCCCCCATTGACTTTGTTGAAAGCCCCCTGGGAATGGTGAAAACATGGCCCTGGGATGCTGCAGCCATTATATATGCCATTTGCCATGTGCCTGAATTTTGATTATAGGACAACGGGGACACTGTAACGGTCTTAAGTGTGAGGATCAATCATAAGACACTTTTTTCAATGTTGTAACTTCAAACGGTTGTTAAATGAATGGTTGTAAATTGAGGATTACCTGTACAGTGGCAGCTCCTCACTTTTGACAATTGTTCTTGCAATTATAATTTCTAAAAATAATTTCTTGTTCCAGCAACTAAGCCAAGGTAATTAGGACATTGTGGCTTTTATATAGAAGCAATCTATAGCAAGAAGTAATTTGTTGATGTAAAAGTAAAGCAGGTAGATATTTTTCTTGCTATCTTACATTTAGTCTTAATTTCCAACCTATACTCAAAAGAGGCTTTGAAACTGAAAAAATATTTTGAACACTTAATTAGAATGGTCCGTGAATGATGGGCAATGAAAAATGGGTTTCACTCAGCTATTCTGGAAGAAAGCAGCAGCAGCTGCCTTGGGAAATACAAAAAAAGTAACCATTAAAGTCTGTACCTGGCATTGAGTAGCACTGGTTCCTTTGTCTTCTGGTAGAAACGAAAATGCTGTTAATTGCATTGAATCTGCAGGTATGATTTGAAGGAAAAACAGTTTCAATCACTCAAAGCAAAGGAGCCTATATGTGATATGAAGCGACTTTTCCTGCCAATAAAATGTTGTGGTTCACTCATCTGTTGCAGAATGAGTCATTTAAGAATGTTTTTAATTTTTAATTGCATTACATTGAAGTCAGTTTTTACCCGTTATTTCAAAATGCTAAAACAAAGTTTGCATTTTTAGGGTAGCTTCTTACACTAAACTGGACTGTTTCATAGGAATTTTTAAGAAGTGAAGGGGAGGAGGGAGATGATTGAAAAAGGCTGTTCTAGATTTCCTTCATGAGATGTTGTTTATTCAAGACTTAGGGTCTTTCATGGGAAAATGGTCCTGTTATAGGCAAAATTGAAAACGGATATGGCTAGGTTCACAGAGCCCACTAAATGGAAAACAAACATGCCTTATTGTGATTTGTGAACTTAAGACATATCTATTTGTATTATGGTAGGCAGGGTGGATTTGATTTAAATCAAGTTTATTTAAATCACAATTTAAATCACTAGTAAAAAGGCTTGATTTAAATCAACTCAATTTAAATCATAATTTTTAAAGAGCAACTGTCATCTCTGCTACTCCTTTGACCCACTGTTGACTCACAGATAGTCTCAGTGTTGCAGAATATTCAGCCTCATGCTACATAACTAAGCTCCATTTAATGCTGAATAAATTAAATTATTTATGTATCTTAAATAGAAAACTATCTTACAATAGATTTTTACTCCTAAAGTTTTTTATTAAAATAAATTCGATAAAAATCAAAAAAATCCGATTGAAATCAATAAAATCCAATTTAAATAAAAAAAATAAGATTTTTTTGATTTTTTTAAAAAAATCATTGATTTTTATCCACCCAGATGGTAGGCATACTCTTTTAAATATTAGGTACAATTAACCTGTGGGAGGGAGGGGATTAAACCTTGCTTTATAATGCCTTTTAATTGTCTTGCAATTTAGTCTCAGGTAAGGTAGTCTTCAACTTTACAGCCCTGATTGAGCCCAAAATTTCTGTGGCTAAACAAGGCAGTTAAGTGAATTTTGCAATATTTTATGACCTCTTTTGCCAAAGTTGTTAAGTGAATCACTGCAGTTATTAAGTGAATCATTCAGTCATTAAGCAGATCTAGCTTCCCCCCCCATTGATTTTGCTCATCAGAAGCCAGCTGGGAAGATTACAAATGGTGATCATGTGACCCCAGGACAGTGCAATTGTCATAAATATTAGTTGCCCAAAACATGATCACGTGACTAGGGGGTGGGATGCTGCAGCAGTCATATGTATAAAAAAAGTTATGCCACGTTTTTCAGCGCTGTTGTAATTTTGAACAGTCACTTAAACCAATTATAAGTGGAGGACTACATGTTATAGTTTAATCAGCATGGTTGTAGTTGAACAATCGCTTCTGTTTGTGTCTTTCAGAAAAAAAGGAGCTTAAGCATGTGAACCGTCATTCCTGCAACAAGGAGCATTCTCCAAACCTTGTGCATCCTAATGTGATCTGCGATGGTTGTGAGGGCCCAGTTGTGGGTGCCAGATTCAAATGTGCAGTTTGTCCAGACTATGACCTGTGCAGCACTTGTGAGGGAAAAGGTGTCCATAAGGAGCATAACATGATCATGTTTCCAAGTCCATTCCACCAGCTTGAGGTTAGTACTATAAAAAAAGGCAGATATACAAAGATAATTGTAAAATTTATAAAGTCATTTATTTTAAAGCTGCTGTGGCTTAAAAACATTTGTTTACCCTTTAGTGGCTTCTTCAAGGTCGCTGGCTTCGTAAAATGAGACACGATGGTTGTTCCTTTCCCTGGTTGCGTGGTAGGGGACACCCACGTTCTGCCCATCACCACCAGAATTCTGGCCAGGCACAAGCTAGTACTTCTTCTCAAAGTGATGCTCCAGAGCGCGGTAAGAAGTTGTAATAACAGGCTTTAAATGCAAAATAAATTAGCAAAAATCTGATACCTGTCTATATAAACAGCATTTGCAAGGAAATAATTTTAGATTTCTACATCTTTAAAAAGTATTTTAAAATTATATATTTAATTTTATACATGCTTACACATATCCCTCCTCTGATCAGGATTGATAAACTCATAAAATTCTTGTCTTGAATAATTCTTATATATGTATCATTTATATTTTTGCTTTATAAAAGAAACCACTAGCAATGAAGCTCAAGATGCCAGTGTCAATTTCCTGAAGAATGTTGGAGAAAGTGTTGCTGCATTCCTGGGTCCGCTTGGTAAACAATTCCTTTCACTGTATATTTTTATTTATTTGTAAAATACATTTATTTGTAAAATTTACTAACTGCCCATCTTATCACAAGGTAATTCTGGGAGGTTTAAAATATTAAATATTGCTTTTCATGTCCCTCTTGTGGATTTCCCAGAAACCAAACTTTTTATTTGGTTCACCCAAATAATTTCACCAAAAAATATAGAATATCATGGGTGAATTATGTAAGATATCAGTAGAGTTTTTAAAAATATATTATCAACTATGATCATATCCTTTGAATATTATCATTAATAAATTAACAGTGATTAAGCATACTACAATGTGATGTACAAATAGTAACTAAACACTTGAAACTCTCATGGATTAACGTGTAATACGAGAATGAGTTGGCAGTCATGCATCAAGTACTAGAGAACATCGGATGCAATACCCAAATGATATAATCTAGTTACTCATTTTTATGTTCTCCCAAATGATGGTTTATTTGGAAATACGTTGCCTATGAAATAGGGGGTGGGTGACAGAAGAATTAATCTGTAATTTTGAGACAAAATATGAAAGAACTAGAGTAATGAAAACATAGACAGAACATTAGTGATGCCCATGAATGTACTGCAGTATGTCATTAACATAACCCATTGTCAACTGCTTTTTTAGGCATTGAAGTGGATATTGATGTTGAACATGAGGGTCAAAGAAGCAAAGTATCACCTGCACAACCTACTTCTGAGAAGAACTGCCCCAAACCTAGCAGTCCTACTGAGCAGACCAAACCAGAAGCAAATTCTGAAAATAATCTAGACATAAGTGATGCTCTTGCAAACCAAATGCAGGAGATGATAGTCTGTTCTCCACCTGCACAGATGGAAGAAGAGATTATTTTGTCACAGGTACAAATGTCAGTTTTGCACATATAAAGATATGTTAATTAGTGCTCCAAGAATGCTGAAGCTGTTGGGATATCAAACTTTTTAACCTGCAAGAGAAAAGTAGCTTGTTAATATTTTTATTAGCAATAAAACACACTTTATTATATTTAATCTGAAGCTTATTCATACTAGACCTTTGTATGAAATGGCTGAACTGCCCTCAGATGGGCATGGAGTGAAGCGGAATTGATTATCCAAGTTCTCTGGAACACTTCCTACCTGAATTGCAAAAATTTTCTTGTCCTTAGATTCTGGGAAGAGTGATATTTCTGCATATGTTGTAGGATTTACTACTATCTGTTGCAATATAGATATAGAGGTATCTATATCTTTTGAATAATTAATAAAAAGCAAATTACCATTTCTTGATGTAGTTGTAAATATAGCTAGTAAAAGTAGGTGTGCTAACATTTTATGTATTTGTATATTCCAGGAACGAAGTGAATCCAGTGGTTGTTCAGGAGCAGATGAAGACTGGACCCATTTATCTTCAAAGGAAGTAGATCCTTCAACTGGTGAATTGCAGTCCTTACAAATGCTAGAGGAAGACAGCCCAAAATCTCTAAATCCCGTTGAAGCTCCCACTAATGCTGGACCAACAGGCTTGCGAGAAGCTGCAATGTACCCTCATCTTCCACCTGGTAATAAGAACTAGGCAGGCTCCAAAACTATTTTATAGAAATTACTGTGTCCTAATAAGCTTGGATACAAACTAAATCCTAATAAATATTTCTGTAAAAATACTATTAAAGCATTGGCAAAACTATAGCAGCATCGTATTCTTAGGCTTGCACAAAAGTTCAAAAATAGCTAGGCTGCTTTAGTGAAGAGCCAATGTGCTGTGCATGAAATCCTCTGCCCAAATGGTAGTTTGACTTAAAGATCTAACACAATGTTTACCTTTACAAGTCACACCAGCTTTATAGGTAGGTCACCTGGCATTTTTATTGCCTAAGTTATTATGGAATGATAACGTAAGCATCCTTTAGCTAGAAAATCAATTTAGGAATATTTGAAAGACCTACTTTCAACCTAAAATTTTAATTTATATGGCTGATTATAATCTGATTCGTTTTAGCTTTGCATTTTGTATAAATCAATCCCCATTATGATTATTAGATTTGAATGAGATGGATTGTTCTATAAAGTAACTTTTTAAAAAATGGCAATATTGGCTGAATTTAATTAAATTCAAGTGTGGAATTGCAAATTTTAGGTATGTGATTGCAATTTTTATGGGCCAATGAATATGACATGCTAAAATTCAATCTGTTTACAGAAGCAGATCCTCGTCTGATTGAATCCTTGTCCCAGATGCTCTCGATGGGATTTTCTGATACGGGAGGCTGGTTGACTCACCTGCTGCATTCCAAGAACTACGACATTGGGGCAGCCCTGGACGCTATCCAGTATGCCAAGCAACCGTCCGCTTCCAAATAGCTCTTGTATAACTCGTAGTTCTTAACACACATTGTTAAAACCTCTTTTTATACCTTTTTCCTTTCTGTAACGGTCTGATTGTAATTCCATATTCATAGATAACATCATAATCATGCTAACTTTCCAAATTGAGTTCTTTCTTATGCACTGGGTAAGGGTTAATATTTACACAAGAAATAGAACTAGTTTAAAGTTATGTCAGGTGGTCTTTTACCTTCAAGTTGTGGCAATGGCAGTTAGAGATCTTTGGTGGATCTTCCATGTTTAGTCATCATCATGGAGCCATGTGATTGTTAGAAATGTTATTTTAGTGTTTAATTTTTACTTTTAATTTAGTGCTTAAGTTTCTTTAATTAGAGGTATATCAATTTTTAAAAAATAGATACCAGTAATGATGTTAGCTTTTCTAAGCTACCACTTATTCAAAGATTTGATTTTTGTAAAAGCCTTTGCTTTCCATGCCTCTTTATTAATAATGGTCCCATTAACAATACAGCACAGCTCCACAGATAAAGCCTTTTTGTGCCATGCCTAAAACAATATGGCTGGAATATGATCCACTTTATTATTCAACATTGAAGAGTCTGGTTTAAATGCAGGCCATATGGCTATTATTTTAAACCATCTCAATAGAAAAATCAACAAATCTCACTGTAGAGCCTTAAATATCATCATCAAAATCCTCTCCTGTGGAAAAAAGACTTCCATAAAGGTTGTTTGATTTAACAGGAGCACAAGACCCTGAAGAAGTGGTAAATTCTGCAGGTTGTGCCTTATCTTGACAAGTAGCCAAACCTGCAGAGTATTTGCTGCTTGTCCCAAGGTGATCGGAATCTGTTGCTCTGTCAAAGCAGGTTAATACATTCTGTTGTGGTTTGAGATGCCAGTTACCACACTCAGCACTAGAAGTGGTGGCTCTTTCATCACTTGTGCCTGCAGCAGGTGTTTTGTCTGATGTCCTTTGCCTTCCACCTGTCATGTTAATATTATAACTCTTGTCAGATAAAAGGAATTTATTCCATTTTGAAAGTTCAGTTACTTTTGATTCAGGCTGTTGATTATTTCTTTGTAGCACATGGTCTTCAGTCACAGGAATTGTACTGTCACATAAATCATCTTTGCAGCTTTTTACATTAACCATGGCTAAGTGTCTCCTATCCTAAAATAAAAAACAAAAATTGCAACAATGTCAATTCTTAAATGCTAAAAGGAGAAACCATCTGATATCTTTATAGTTCCCAGAGCTTTCTTATTCTACAGCCATTTTACTTCTGTGATGGTGATTGCAGTTTGAACTGTAAGGATGGTTTTAATACCATAGTAACCCTCTAGAATTGTCAGGCCTGTCAGGGTTATCGATTGGTGAAAAATACAGTTCTCCCATAAATTAAACATTTCAACTTGGAAAGCTCAACATTACAAAATTGAAAAGGTGTTAACACTAGTTACACGGTAGAATAGGGGTCCCCAATCACTGGTCCATTACTGGGCCACGGCCTGTTTGGAACCAGGCTGTAGAAGCAGCAGGCAAGTGTGTGCAGCTCCAATTGTGCAAACAGCGGATGAGTTTGTGCAAAGCTCCATTTGCAAGAGCGGCGGGTATCCAAATGAAGCTGCGTATGCATGTGCTCGCCTGGAACCATCCCCTCTGCTGGTATGCAAAGCTGGAAAGGTTGAGGGTTGCTGCAGTACAGATTACTAGAAGTAATCGTTGGGTTACATATATAACAATGTCTTCAGAAGTGTTCAAAACACCCTCAAAATGTTCAATAGTGGGAGATCTATTATATTTCAAAAGATACTCTGAATAGATCCATACATATTAATTAAAAAGAAACCATGTGTTAGCAGTGGAGCTCCACCCTCCAAACTGATCTAGGAAATCCTAATCCTCAACTAGAATCTGGTATTCTGTAACTTAAATCCACTACTCCTTGTCAAGTGGTTAATGCCAATCTTACTCAGCAAATTTCCATAGCTGACAGCAGACTGAACTTGGCACTCTGCATCACAGTTAAAAAGATAGGAATACAAACCAACCTAGATCAAATACCTCAAAATTTCTTGCCATTCTATGCCAACAAAACCAGAGACAATATATAGCCTATATTTTTCTAATTCACAAACATCAGATACTCTTACTAATCACTACTGTAGAAGCAAAGGAAGTATTCTATACATTCACTGAGAAAGGAACTATTGCTACTATGTAAAAAGAATAATTTCTATATACAGGTAGTCTTGACGTATGATCATTTGTTTAGCACCCATTGTGGTTACCGCCCGTCTTTGGAATTCTAGCTGTCCCAGCAACTTTGTAGTTACGTTTGTGATCAGAATGCTTGCCAGCTGTTTCACACAACTGGATTGGATTGGAACTGGGTCTTTTTAATATAGTGGTTCTTCTTTCTATTGGCCATGTCCAGAAGATGTTGTTTACCACTGTTCAGCATCTAGATCATGAATATTCCGATTTATTTCCTCAAGTTGTTCAACATTCACATGAAACTATGGAGGCAAGCTCATATTAGGTCATCTGTGGCTTTGGAGTACACTGATCACACCCATCTCTACTATTGCTTACATACAATTCAAGAGAGATAAAGTGAATATTGCCCAAGTTCGAAAATAGGCTGGATGAAGGAGAACAAGCTGAAAATGAATCCAGATAGATAGAGACAAGCAGGATACTGGATTTGGAGATTAAAGTTTGGACTGTTTTGGATGATACTGCTTAAAATATTGGAGCACAGTTTGACCCTCAGCTGTCACTTGGTTTATAGGTGGTGATTTTGGCAAGATACTTACATCAAGCGCCAGCTATGTTTCTGACAGACTTCTCTAACCTAGAAATAAATGAACATTCAGGGCACAAGTCTAGAGTTCTGATCAATAAGACTTATTAAGAAAGAGGTTAGTTATATACAGGGATTCCAGTTGCCTTCAGATATTAAAGGCAATTCAAAACCATAAGCTTGGGGTTTTTTTCATCTACCTTTTCAACAAAGGAAGGAGGAATCATAGGGATGAAGATCTTCCAATCCAAAAGGCTCCTCAGTGCAAGAATCCTCATGTCACCCTGAACAAATCTTTTTTTGAAAAATTTCCTCTAATGGATATCCTGCGACTTCAGGAGGCAGAATGCTCCATGCTTAGTAATTCTCAGGAAATTCCTTGTTTCATTGGATTGCTCACTGTAAAGCTACTATCCGTTGGTTCTTGTCTTAAAATGGGTGTTTTGGAAAATAAATCCACATTCTTCCATGTGATTTCCCTTCATCTTTGGAAGACTACTATCATCTCTTCCCTAGGCTAAATATCTCAAGTACTGTATGCAGCTCTGGAAGATTCACATTAAAACAATGCGTTGTTTAATATACAAATATTTAAAAACACACAGCACCGAAGAATAGTTAACAAACCCCTCAACACAGCCAAGAAACAGGCTCAGTCTCACACCTGAGATCTCGGGCTTGGACTCAGAACCAGGTTTTCAAAACCTTACAAAAGGCCATCAGGGCAGGGGCCAATCTAATTTCAGGAGGGATGATAATTTAAAGGGCAGGCACTGTGGTCCTTTTTCAGGGGCCCACCAACCAACACTTCTTCACTGACAGAACCCACAACATGTATTCCCTGCTGGACCAGACAGATAGAAACAATAGGGAAGAGATGGTCTTGTAAATAAACCTAGCCCTTAGTCATGAAGGGCTTTCAAAGTAACTACCAGCACCTTGAATTGAACACTAAAGGAATGTGGTAATCAATGCAGCTTGTGAAGCTGTGGTGTCACACGTGCTGAAAAACTGGCACCATTAGTTGTCCATGCTGCCACATTCTGCATTAGCTGAAGTTTCCAAATGCTCTTTGGGACCTGACCTGTATAGATCATGTTGCAGTAGTCAAATTTTCATGAGGGCATAAGGGACTGTGATCCCTTACAATTACTTTTATTACTATTCGTAGAATTTAGCTTCCAAATCCATAATCATCTTCATTACTCTTTTGCATTCTTCGCAGTTTCTCAACATTTTTATATCGTGATGACCAAATCTGAACATATTTCCAGGTGTGGTGAGACCACTGCAACATAGAATAGTGTTACCACTTCCAGTGATCTTGACAACATACCTCTATTATTGCAGCCCAATACAGTATTGGCCTATGGCACATTGCTGGCTCAAGCGTAATCTGTGGCCAACCTAGACACCCAAATCATTCTCACAAATACTATTGGCAAGCCAGGTACTCTCTATCTTGTCTCTCCTTAGAAGGCAAACCAACCCACACTTGGATATTGTTCACACAACAGCTGTTAGATTTAGCATGGGATTCACTGTCCTTGTCCCTTCCTGAGCTTGTGAGATTTGCTGAACACCCACATCTTTGTTATGCCCAATATTGACTACTGCTATATGTGAAAATTTTCTTGAAAAATACTCAGAAATTGCACTTGGTACATCACATAGCAGCTAAACTACAAATTGGTGCAAAGTACAGGGATTCTATGATGCCTGTCTTAAAAGTTCAACTGGGCACAATTTGCTATTGTCGGTGGCTAAGAATTCAATTATCCAAGGGACCCCATTACAAATCACTCTAAACCTGTTAACAACAGCAGCAGAGCTCTGCTTGAAGATGTTATCACTTTGAAAAGCTTGTCTTTCTCACAATGGGAGAGGAAAGGCTCTTGCTTTGTTCCCAGGCTGTAGAAGCTGCTATTGGCCCTATTCTCTTAGCATTTAGCAAATCCACAAAGGCACATTTCTTGACCATTCTTTAAGATTAAACTTCTTATTTGATATTTTTTTAAACCTGCATTATTAAAACATTCTGTTTCTTTAAATATTGTAACTATCTTGACTGCTCAAGAAAACAAAAAAAAAAAATCAAATCAAATCATGATTTTTACTTCATTTAACAGTTTATGATTTTATTCTTTATAATTATGCTACTTCTAAATCAAAAAGTCTTACCTCCCAATCTGTTTTTTCTTTGATGTTAACAGCCATATTCTCATCAACTATTGGTCCTGATTCTTCTTTACACCTAGAGGTAGATCATATTTAACTACTATATATAACTATACCTTTATATACATATGGAAAAATAAAA